TGCGGATGTGACGAGGCGAAGGAGTAAGGAATCCATCGGATTCCCTCAAGAATCTCGGATTCCCAACGCAATCCTGCAAATTCCCTACATCATCTTGAGGGCTTCCTCTGGAATCCGCCAGGAATCCAAAAGGGATTCCCCGAGAACCCCATGAGATTCCGTTAAGATCCCCAAGGATTCCTTGAAGAACCTGTCGGGTTCCAGGAATCACCAGAAATTCCTGGGACTCCCCAACAAGATTCCTAGATCATCCGAAGGAATCCTCTTCAGAATCTCCCAGAGCCTTCTGGTACACATGAAGCCCCGCAAACGTATACAGAAAACCACAACTGTGACACATGAGGCCCCAACGTGTTACAGATTAGCCTGGCGAAGGACCCAACCATATGCAGTTGTGAGCACCGTCGTTGTATGCACCGCATTCGTAGGAGCTCCTTAGGTATAGGGCCACGAAACGTGTGAGACGTGTGCCAACATTTATCCGGTGGGCGCATGCGAAAGCAGCCACTTGGGTCGTCGGTGGACTTCCGTATGGGGCCACGAAACGCGTGAGTTGTGTGCCGAAAGAGGTGCGGTGAGCGCATGCGAACGCAGCCACTGGGGCCGTGCCGAAGTGGATGCGGTGGGCGAATGCGAACGCAGCCACTGGCGCCTTCGGTGGAGATCCCTATTGGGCCACGAAGCGCGTGAGGGGTATGCCGAAACGTGCGTGGGTGACGCATGCGGGCGGTGGCACTGGGGCCTTCGGTGGAGCTCCATCCCTATGGGGCCACGAAGCGTGTGAGGGGTGTAACGAAATGTGTGTGGGTGACGCATGCGGGCAGGGGTGTGCCGAAATTGGTGTGGGTGACGCATGCGGGCGGTGGTACTGTGGCCTTCGGTAGAGCTCCGTATGGGGCCACGAAACGTGTGCGGGCGGTGGCACTGGGGCCTTCGGTGGAGCTCAATCTGGGGCCACGAAACGTGTGAGGGGTGTGACGAAATTGGTGTGGGTGACGCATGCTGGCGGTGGCACCGGGGCCTTCGTTGGAGCTCCCTGTGGGGCCACGAAACGCGTGAGGGGTGTGCTGGAATGGGCGTGGGTGACGCATGCGGGCGGTGGCACCGGGGCCTTCGTTGGAGCTCCCTGTGGGACCATGAAACGTGTGAGGGGTGTGCCGAAATGGGTGTGGGTGACGCATGCGGGCGGTGGCACTGGCGCCTTCGGTGGAGCTCCCTACGGGGCCACGAAGCGTGTGAGGGGTGTAACGAAATGGGTGTGGGTGACGCATGCGGGCGGTGGCACTGGGGCCTTCGGTGGAGCTATGGGGCCACGAAGCGTGTGTGAGGGGTGCCGAAATGTGTGGGTGACGCATGCGGCTGGTGGCACTGGAGCCTTCGGTGGAGCTCCCTATCGGGCCACGAAGCGCTGTAGTGGGGGGGTGAAACGCAGCAGGGGGAGGGGGAAGGGGAGGAAGGAGGAGGAGTGAGGAGAGGAGGAGGAGGAGGAGGAGGAGGAGGAGGAGGAGGAGGAGAGAGGAGGAGGAGGAGAGGAGGAGGGGAGGAGGGAGAGGAGGGGAGAGGAGGAAGGAAGGCTGTAAGGAAGGAGGAGACCTGGGGACCGTCTCTTCAAAACGAGGACCCAACACCACAGGATGGTTGGGACAAAGCCTTCTTTCTGGGACGGGGGGGGTGCTGGAGGGGGTCCCGGGGGGGTCTGGGAAGGGGAGTCGCGGGGGGGAGGAGGAGAAGGAGGACGAGGACGAGGACGAGGAGGAGGAGGAGGAGGAGGAGGAGGAGGAGGTGGAAGAGGAGGAAAAGGAGGAAGAGGAGGAGGAGGCGGAGAGGAGGAGGAGGGGAGGAGGAGGAGGAGGAAGGAGGAGGAAGAGGAGGAGGCGGAGGAGGAGGAGGAGGAGGAGAAGGAGGCCCTCAGAAGGGGCCACGAGGGCGCGTGGCGCAGCAGCAGGCAGGACAGGGGAGGGGGGGCCCGGCGGACAGGGGAGGACTTGGCGGCGGCGCCCCTATCCTCCTCGGTCCTCCTTCCCCGTCGTTCCTCCCTCCTCGCTCCTCCCCCCTTCTGGCGTAGTTCCTCCCTCGTAGTTCCTTCTCCGTCGTTCCTCCCTCCCCCCTTCTGGCCTCCCTGGTAGTTCCTCCCTGCTCGCCCTCTATCGCCCCCCACCCCCCGTTCTGAGGCCCATCCTCCCGGGCTCTTTCGCCCTCCCGCCGCCCTCCTGCCTCCGTCGTCGCTCCTCCCTGCCTTCCCTCCTCCGCCCGCCTCTTCGGGCTCCTCCTCCTCCTCCTCCTCCTCCTCCTCCTCCTCCTCCTCCTCCGCGTCCTCCTCCTCCTCCTCTCCCTCCCTCCCTCCTGCTCTCCCCTCCCTCCCTCCTCCTCCCCTCCTCCTCCTCCTCCTCCTCCTCCTCCTCCTCCGCCTCCTCCTTCCTCCTCCTCCTCCTCCTCCTCCTCCTCCTCCTCCTCCTCCTCCTCCTCCTCCTCCTCCCTTCCCCCTCCTGCCTCCGCCCGCGGTTCCTGCTGCGCCGGGGTCTTGCAGCACGACATGCGCCACGCGGCAGGCCATGCCATGCTGGCCAGGCCGCGCGGAGGCGAGGAAAGCCTTTGGCCTGAAGCCGGTTTTTTGGGCCACGAGGCGCGCAGGCGAGCTCCTGCAGCGACGCTGCGCGGGTCGCTGCGGCAGCGGCGGCAGCAGAGAAGCAAGCGGACAACAGCACATCAGCAAACGCCTAAGTGTGCGCGCTCACTGGAGGCTCCAAGCCCGTCCCCCGACGGCCAATCTCGCCCACGACCCCCCAAAATAGTGCGCGCGCACGTGGTCAGTGCGTATGGCCCTGGCCCCCCCCCCCCCCGTGAGTGACGTTCCCCGAAATGACGCCATCCCGAATAGGCGAAACGTTTGGGGGCCCGTGGGACCATTGCCATCTTCACCATCCTTTGAAGATTACCTCAGTGCGACCCTACCTAGAAGTTGGAGCCCCTAGAACATCAGCATTAGTTGCTATGCTATGCTATGCTATGCTATGCCATGTTATGCTGCGCTATGCTATGCTATGCTATGTTATGGTATGCTATGTCGCGATATATTATGATATGCTATGCTATGCTATGTTATGTCATGCTGCGCTGTGCTATGCTGCGCTATGCTATGCTATGCTATGCTATGCTATGCTATGATATGCTATGCTAAGCTGCGCTATGCGATGCCAGGCTATGCTATGCTCTGCTCTGCTCTGCTATGCTATGCTGCGCTGCGCTATGCTGTGCTGTACTGTGCTGCGCTGTGCTATGCTATGCTATGCTCTGCTGCGCTATGCTATGCTATGCTATGCTGGGCTATGATATGATATGATGTGCTGCGCTATGCTATACTACGCTATGCTATGCTATGCTGTGCTCTGCGATGCTAAAGCTCAGCACAGCTAAGATGAAGGTAAGCTAAGCTAAGATAAACATGAGCTAAGATGAAGCTAAGCTAAGATGAAATAAGCTAAGCTAAGACGAGATAAGCAACGCTAAGCTAAGGGGACGCAACTGGGGGAACCGCGGGGCGGATCCTGGGGGAACCGCCCGGGGCGCTTTACACTGCCCGGCCCCTTTAAGCCCACAGAGTAAGAACCCTTCTAGACAGAGCCTAGGTAGGGAACTAAAACGCAAACATGCGATGTCCTGAACTTTTCCATCGGGGCCCCCAGAAGTCCTGACCAGTTCCCCAAGGCCGGCTTTTCATCGCGGGTCGCGTTTTGACGGCCCCAGGGCCTGGCGAGGGCCCCCGGAGGCCGAAAACGGCCCAAACCTCCAGCAGTGTTGTATTCACGACGCGAGCATGTCTGGGAACCCACCCCTCTCCGACGCACAGCCAGCAGGCGGGGTGTCCCAAACAGGTTCGGCTCGGCACCCCTCCGCCCTCCGAGGCGAGGGCGAGGCGCGGTGCTCGCGCGATCCTCCCGTGACTGCAGTCTGCCCGCGAGGGCGTGGTGCTCAAGAGATGTGTTGCTGGTGCAGCTTTCTGGGAAGGCGCACGCATCGACCAAAATATCAGCCCTCCTTCCCCCCCCCCTCCCCGCGCCCGTGGGCTGGATGCGGATGGCAATCTGGCAATCCTTGTTGTTGGCGGAGCCTCGGATTGGAGCGGTGGGGGGGGCCTCTTGGGGCCGTTTCGAGTCGTTCTTGGGTTGTCTTGGGGTCTTGTTGGGGCTCTGCTCGGGCACTTTGGTGGCTCTGTTGGGGCTTGCTTCATGGAGCTGCAGGAGCCCTCCCCCGGGCGTCTTGCGACCAGCGCGGCGTCAATCACAGGTGGTCTTGTTGGACTTTCGCGATTTAGAGCCCTTCTGGGGCCCTCTTGGCTGGGGTGCTCTGGGGCCCTCCTGGGTACATCTGGGCCCGTCTTCGGCCCGTGATGGGCCTTCTGGGGCCTCTCTTGGGCGATCTTGGGAGCGTCCTTGGGCCTTACAATCCTATCGGACGCTAGAAGGCGAGAAGGCATCCATCATTGGAAAACACCAGGTTCTGGTTTGGCCTCCTTGGGCCCACCCTCAAGTAGCTCTATGCTCTATGGACAACTAGCGACGTCTTGTGGACGGTCTGCCTGCAGGCCACTTGGCCACTTGGAAGCCATCTTGGACCATCGCGTGCCGTCTTGGCGGCTATCTTGGAGACCGTCTCGCCTCGTCTTGCCTTGCCGCGGCCAAGACGGGTGCGTGAAACACCGGTCTTGTGGCCGAGGTGCGATTGGAGGTGCTGATCCGTTCAATTAGTGAAGTCCCTCCACTGGGTCTGGACGGGAACGGGGGGGAACGAGGCGTCCGAGGATCCGTTTGAGCTCAAGATAGTCAAGATAGCTCCAAGATGGCCATGATACTCCAAGATGTGGCACAACATGTGCCAACTTGGAGTGGCATGGCGTCCAACGTGCCTCCTAGAGGCGAGAGTATGCCTGCGAGGAGGCCCCACAGAGCTACGAAGCTTCCCTAGGATTTCCCGCCGAAATCCTTCAGCAACCTACTATAGCTGTTTATCAGAATGAGGGGACCGAACGGTCATTCATTGTCCCTGGGTGCGTGGCTGAAGTGGGGATCCGTGGTGAGGATTCTGCTTGTTGCATTGTTGTTTGTTGTTTGTTTGTTTGTTTGCTTGTTTGTTTGTTGTTTGTTGTCGTCGTCCCACCCGCGACCCACCCGCGACCCACCCCGCGACCCACCCCGGGACCCACCCCAGGACCCACCCCGCGACCCACCCGCGACCCACCCCGCGAACCACTGCGACCCACCGCGACCCACCCGCGACCCACCTCGCGACCCACCCGCGACCCACCCCGCGACCCATCCGCGACCCAACAGCGACCCAACCGCGACCCACCCCCGCGACCCACCCGCGACCCACCCGCGACCCACGCGCGACCCCCCCGCGACCCTCCAGCGACCCACCAGCGACCCACCCGCGACCCACCCGCGACCTAGCCACATTGGTTCAACGAAAAAATGGGCGCCTGCGGCGGGCCCCGTGCATAATTTATGAAACTTTGGCGCCTGCGGCGGGCTTCTGTAGAGTCTCGCAAACTGCCGATGTCCCCACCGCCCCCTCATTCATCCGCATCTGCGGGGTGCTACGTTGATGTTGAGCTTTTCGAACTTTCGCTGATAGTCTGATGGGCTCTGGAATTCCCACTGAGATACCGAGATGCTGCCTCAAGGGGAGGCCCAGGAGGGCTCCGAGACAGCCCGAGATACCTCAGGAGCGTCCAAAAGAGGGCGATGTTTCGGCGTCCGACGGGAGGGCCTTGATGGCGGTCCCTCATGTTTCCTCGGATGGTCTCCTGGAATCTGCCCAAGAGGGCGCCGAAGGCCCCCAAGAGAACCCCGAGTGAGCCCAAGGCGCCTCCAAAACCGCGGCGAGAGAGCCCCAAGAGAGCACCCTCGAAGCGAAGGCCCTCCTGGTTGACTCCGGGCTCCTCTGCGCCTCCCCGCTGTCACGAGAAGCTCAAGAGGGGGGGAGGGCCCTTGGGACGCCCCTCGGCTCGCCGAAGAAGGTGCGAACGGGGAGCGCGCAAGTCAGAGGGCGACTGCACGCCCTCTTTGTGCCGCCGTGTGTCCCTTCGCGTCCCTGGTCAAAGCAGCCCCCCCGGGACTCGCTGCCGGAGAGGCTGGGCGTGGGCTTAGGAGGGGCCTGTCCCCCTACAGGCCGATTTTCGAGGAAAAATGAAAAATAGTCAGAACATGTTCTGAAATGTTGGAAAATCTTTCGCGTGGCTATTCGTCGTTTTGTCACGTATTTTCACGTGCCACTTCGTGCGTGGCATTTTCGCCAAATGATCAAGGATGCTCCTCCATGGTCCTCGCCGAAGGAAAAATGCACACGTCCAAGCGATGCCTAGGGTCAAGTGGCGTGAAGCTCCCGATGAGGGGTTGCGCAAGCTGGCGGATGGTACCCAGATGCCCCGATCCGACTGGCAGATGCTGCGCACTGCCCAGCTCGCTGCATGCAGCCGCGTCGCAGGCATGCAGAGAGGAGCTGGAGCGATCAGTGGGTCGACAGACCTGCCTGCAGACGCTGCACCTGGGGAGACCAGAAGATGCTGATACTGTTACTGCTACTCCCTGGACCTCTCCTGGGGCACGTTCAGGCTAGACTTTCGATGCAAATCCAGCGGTGGCGACGAGTGCCTCCCAGGAGGCCGAAACAAATGAAAAACAGGCAAAGGGTAGCGGCATCGGTACCTTGTCCTCCTCTGCCTTCTACCAGAGGGGGGCCAAGAGCTTAGAGTGCGTTGCAGGCATTGAGTCAGAAGCGTTCCCAGAAGGATGCCGCAATCGATGTGTCTAACGTGGGGAAACTGACGGCAAATGTGCCAATCTCAGTAGGTGGCCGGAGATGGCGAAAGGCTGGGTTGCACAGTCGATCGAGACTACTGATTTGTTCTTCTTTGCCGAGCATCACTTTGGGGAGGAGAACGTGCAAAATGCCAGACAGTGTGGACAGATGGGCTGGAGATCCCATCTGATGCCAGCGCTGCCCTTCCCTGGAGGAGAAAACCACGGTGGCGTTGGATCTGTTGCGCCGAAAAGAATTTACCGTAAGAGGTTTCTCAGAGGCGTTTGGGGAGGTGCTAACGATCTGGGAGCTCGGGAGTCGTGGTTCTTCCTGGAAGTAGAAAGCCCAGAATGTTCAATTCGCGTTTGGAGTGTGCTACATGACTTCTGGGTAAAATGTCAATGAGGCCAACGCCAGGAGGCCTTCGGAGATTGCCGAGTTCGTGGGCACATGTGGGCATGCTGGAAGTCCCCTGGGTCCTCTTCGACGGTCATAAGTTTGAACCGTTGGCACTGCACAAATGTGGGTTCTGTGAGCTTACTCATTTTGGAGTGGTGCAAGATTCTGACGTGGGGCTTACATGTGGCAGAGGAAAGGTAGTAACATTGATTATGCAGAAATGTCTCACACGCTCAGGTTTCTAAGTGACTCTGAAGGCCGACCCGGATGCTCCTTTTAACACTCACGATTGCCAGCATGTGCAAATTGAGCGTGCAGCACTTCGTTCGCAAGTTTGGACGCGAGCTAAACCAGTACCTTGT